TTCTTTTTGCAAGCAAAGATGAGACTGAGGCTGATTTCTCTGTCAATCAGAACAAAAAAAAACTTTGATTTTAAGTGCAATTAATCTCCAAAAACAGTGAACTTAGAAGGCCTCAGAAGTCAATAACAGTCCTGCAGTTGTCATTACCATGATGTTACCACACTGGACACAGGGCCAGATTCATTACCATGTTACCACACTGGACACAGGGCCAGAAGTCATTGTTGCCTAGCTCAGTAGACCTCTACTCTAGGTGATATCTATGTGATATGGATACATGTGCGATTGTTGTACCTGTCAACATTATATTTGGACAACCGTATACTTGTATTTAAATCACACAGACAGTTTATACCCGTTACTGCTGTTAAATATACTTCTACGTCCTTCCTCATTGTCCTCCTCAGCCATATCGCTTCTTTTCCTGACTGTGGTTTCAACAAACATACATACAGAGAGAGAGAGATGGAGACTTCTGAGAATGCTGAGTGCACCATGGGAATTCCCCCAGAAGTCTAGGCCTGCGGCAGCATCACTAATAGATAGCTGTGGTTCATCTAAGCCAGACCTGTGGTTAGATGAGTCCATGTTCCTGCCTGTTTTGGTGAAAACAAACGTTGGATTCCATCTGCCAAAGATGGAAATATATCACCCAGATACGTTATCAAAATACAGTGCCAAATAACAAACTGAGTTCTAGGAACCAATTTGTGTTTTAGTAATTTAGTCTCAGTCCAAGCTTTAGTCAACTAAAAAAAATGATAAAAAAAAAAATATATATATACTATAAATATATTATATTATCTGACAATGATACAGTTTTACCTCGTCAGTTCAGATCTGTCTCAAACAGAAAATGTCTGGTGTACAGTATAGACAAATTGAGTTCTGCAGTAAAATGTTTAATTGATGTTGATATACGACAGTCACTAAATGATTTCACTTCGACACTAACAATGGCAGCGATTAGTTGATTTGCACACTTCAAAGACGTAAGAAGGAGGGAAAGAAAAAAACAATGGGGGGGAACATAGTCGTGATGTATCATCATAAGGTTGAAGATAATGGGAATAAAAAGCTTCACTTCATCAGCGAAGGCAGCGCAATTGACTTATCGCAGAAAAAAAAAATTGGTGCTCGAGCTGAAGCTTCCACAGGAACCAGCAGGCAAAGAAAAAAAAAAACTTCTATTAAGCAAGAGTGAATTGCTTTTCTCCACCCTAATGAGAATTCATCATGAGATAGATGAGTCAGTCTGAAAACACAATTCCATACTCGCAGTAATGAGATCATACTTGAATAATGGGGTTTACATCGGTCAGTGAAGGAAAAAAATCAAGGTCAACAACATTTCTCAGTAAGAAGGTAACCTCCGAACTCCTGGCATTTATGAAAATAGTATTATTAACAGCATACGGAAATTGCCAGAATACGAAGCAGAGTTATAATTCCTGCTCTTAATTTATGGTCGAACACAGAATTTCAGCCTTGTGTGGCCAGGCTCTGTTCAAAGAGCTGCGTGTCAACAAAATAAAGTTTGAGCTGAAGTTAAGAACGATGCCTGGGGGGAAATGGAAAAGCCCAGGACTGGCTGAGCCCGGGCAGTTTTTTCAGAGTAAATACAGCTGACTTTGAAAATTGTCAATGCAGTCGGAGACAATTTAACAAAAATAATAAAGTAGAGCAGAGCCCTCTGGATTAGCACTCAGCTCCACAGAAAGTTTTCTGGTTTAACCTTGATCTTAGAACGGGTGCATCTGAATATGCACCTGTAGAGTATAATGGATTATTATGACATTGGTTTAAGGCAGAAGATCGATGATGATCGTGGTCGTGTGGGAACACATCATGTGTGAATCTCACATGGTTGTGAGCTAACCTGACAGCATCACATAAACAGACGTAATGAAGACGTACAGTGATGATGTCAATTCTTCTAAACAATTAATAAATGAACTCAAACTCCTTCAGAACATCTGTACAAACTGCAACCAAATCGATTTTATCCCCTGATGCGATCCATCCCGACTTCATCTCCTTCCTCTCACACTTCCTTTTCCATTTATTTATTTTTTTCCCGTGTGCTAAAGTGACGGCTCTAAAAACCATTAGGATCTTGCCCTCCCGCAGATCAAATTGTTTTTGTTGAGACAGAGTTTCTTTAAAATGATTTTCAAGGTTGAAAATCATCATCATCGCAGCCTCATGACAATCTCTTTGAACTCTCTGAGGCGAGAGTTGCATCTCTGTGTTGAATCGAACTCTTGTTTTTTTGGGGGGTTGTTTTTATCCGAAGGCCTAATAGAGTATTGGATCCCCCATCAGTTTCACCAGTTTTCTCTGAAAGGACAGACAAGGCATCAACTGAAGTGAAACACAGCAAGGGAATGTTGGTACTGAATAAAAACACAGACTGGAGTATTTGATAAGGGTTCGGTTTACATGGTGTCGTTTGAAACTGCGCCACTTACAACTGAGATGAATGAAAAAGAAGGAACATGTTTTAGATTACGTCCTTTGAAGATTCCTGCAGTGACGCGTCTGGGATTTTACACAGGAAATTGATGGTACTTTAAGCTCTACTGAAAGTTGTTTTTTTTACATGCCTTTCCATCAACCAATCACAGTCTCTCATTCACCCATTTATTCAGTGTCACACAAATGTCTGGCCCAGCCACTATAGGACAACTTGGGATAAAATATTTTTTTTTAAAAAGTAAACAAATCCAACTTAATCTAATCTTATCTCCGTTAATGTGATCTTATTTTACTATATCTTATGCTGCCTTCCTTCATCGAATCCAATCTTATGATAATCTATATTCTATATGCATGCATTTACTTCAATCTAGTCTTATTTTACCGAATCTCATCTCAATCCATCTCAGCATTTGCCATCCTATCCTATATGATCTCAGCATTTTATTTTTTATCTATTATTATTATTATTATTATTATTATTATTATTATTATTATACTATTGTCTAAGGCAAAGACTCTGACAAATCTCCCACCAGTGTTCAATTGTCCAGTGAAACAACTGCCAACAATTACGAAACTCCCCGGCGTCTTTCATGACAAAAATCTCCTTTACAAACACTCTGCCAGCTTCCTGTTTGGAATGTGCTGCTAACAACCAGTCTCATCTGCCAAAGCGCTGACATATTGGGGTTGACCTTACTCAATCTCCGCGTCTCACCTGAAACACAGCTTGCACCCCGTTCTGACCCGCAGCATCATATCATGTGAACTCAGGGAGAGCGGAGGAAAACACTGGCAGCGCTACGTGCACAGAAAAACACAACGGATCTACGGAAAAAAAGAGCAGCAGCAAAAGCTCCCACACATGCAATGTATTTCATAACCCTTTTTTTCCCCTCGTGCTGATCGTAACACAGCCATCGATGTGAACACATTCACGATGCTTTTTGAGGTAAAATGTGGTTCTTTTTTTAGGGAGGGGGGGCATTAATCACGTTTATCCCAACTGGAACTGGAGGCAGAGCAGATGGGCTTAATAAAACAGGATTTTGTTGGCTCTGCTGAGTCTTCAGTGAGGCTGCAGAAAAAGCAGGAGAGATGCAAAAAAAACATTTTATTGTGTACCGGCCCTGATAATTTAAAACATTTCCAGCTTTAATCCTTTGAGTCATTGCTTCAGTTCACTGGTCGACCGTGGAAGTGTGAAGGTGTCACACACAGAAACTAAAGTCAATCAATATTTGCTCCTTGTCGTGTAGTCAGTCAAACGTTTCTGCAGAGTTAACGCAACACCGTAAGTCGTGAACTTCTTTGGAATAAATTTCATGTCAAGACCTACGAGTGAGTCACACCGCAGTGGGTTCTTCTTTTTTGGCAAGTGGTGAGGTGATGAGCATTTGTCTGATGTAGGTCTCCATCACATGACCTCGTGCTTCACAGTGCAGTATAAAAAGTCAACTGTAGACTGATAATAAAACAGGGCTGAATATTCACAGTACTTTGTACACAATACAGGCTATAGTTGTTCCTTTCCCAGAGGAAAGTCTCAAGACTCAGGTCAGTCAAAGCTGTTAAAAACAAGTTCACCTAAAGGTTAGCGAAACAGCTAACTTAGCTTAGCATAGCAATATGTTAGCCAGAAAATTAAAATGGAAGAAGATGACTACTGGTTAGCCCAGAAGTACCAAGAGACAAAGACGTTGCCAAGAATAGTAAAAGCTTAGAGACAAAACAGGTAAAAAAGGTCATTAAAACAGCTGAAAATATCGCTTGTCAAAAGAGCTGCAATCGCTTCCAAAACTGTCAAAGGCAGCTAGCAAGAAAATTGATTGTTTATACTGTATATATGAAAACACAATATATATATATAAATAAATATATATAATATATATAGAAAATTTACATTTATACATAACTCACTCAAGTGCAACTGGTGAGAGTTGAACTACAGACTACACACATTAAAGCTCAGTTAAAGTCAAGCTAAAGGAAAAGTGAATGTGTTTTATTATCAATCCCACAGTTAAAAGTGAAGATTGTTCTACAAGCTCCAACCATTGACGTCCATTTTTCATGGCTCCATAGACTGTTGTCACGACAGTTTAACTTCTTTGTCTCTTATTATGTTGGCAATTCTCCACACTGCCCCCCGCTGTTTCCTCATACAAATTCCATGCAGGCACCCATTCAGTTTGGCTTCACTTCATCCAGAAAGAAACAACCTCACATTCTACTGAAATTGCATTTTCAACTTGTCATATACTGTTATTGCTGTGGCATTTTGTCCAAACAACAAACTCTGCAGAAACACATTTTTCCACAGTGTGACTTTGATTTTCCTGCCTTTTTAGGAGACAGCATTATGGAAACACCTCCTTCCCAGGACCAGTGGACCAGCTCGTGTTAATGAACCAGAACTTCATACTATTAAGTACTCACGACGTGACGTTTAAAATGAAATAAAGTGCACGGCATTTAATTTCTAAGCAAACGACAGACACAAGTAACAAAGCACGTACTTCTCTCTGCTCTACTTTGGCTCGGTGGATATTCGTGTGCCAGTCTTAACCTTGAAACCGCAGAGCCAAGGCTTGTTTGCCGACATCCAGACTCATTTCGGCTCTGACCTTCATCCGTCCTCCCTTGCAGCTGCTCCTGATGCCAGTGAGTGGACTCAGACAGTATGGACCCCCCTGTGGGAACAGACACTGGTCTATGCCAGGGAAACATTGTGCATCCATCAGTGCTACAAAGAAAACAAGTTGAAATGTACTTTTATTAGAGGTCTGATTGTGTGCTCTCAGTAGCAGCAGCTTACAAATAATAATAATAATAAAAAAGGATCTCTAGGTCGGTTCTTTTTCTGCCTGAACGGGTCAATTTGTGATGCAAATAAAAAAAGTCTAATCAAATCTTGTCGAGAGCCGTGGATTTTATGTAGAACACTAACAGATATATCGTGGTATCTTTCTCCTCGGTCCACTGTGTGGTGGCCAAGTGTACTTTGGCTGCCGCAGAAATGAAAACAGATATGACCCAGAAAGTTGATGCATGAATCATAAAGTTAAGGAACTCCCCTGGCTGTGTTGAACAAGCGATGAGTCTCACAGTACATCAGGTGGAGGAGGTTCACTGTCAAAACACAATCAGAACACTTTCAGAGCAGTAGCATCTGTCTCTATTTTTTTTTTTTTTTTTTACAGAATTCCCCTTAAACCACCACATGAACACAAGCCAAATATGATCTGCTTCTTTAAACGCACAGCTGCACTGTGATCATTACATCCTTGTTGTTACAGGAGCGTTGCTAACAGCTCAGTTACTATAAATGCCTTTTTTATTGTTTTGTTTTATTGGCTAATAACATTCTACGCTTTTATTATTATTTACATAAATCAAGATTGTTTTTGACAGGAAAAAAAAAAAGAAACTCACTCCAGAGAGGTAAAAAGCATTATTCAGATTACCTGAAATCAACGCAATCTCTATTATGGCTGTAAAGGGAGAGTAATGAGAACCAAACCGAAGAGCTTTCCACGTGAAATGAGTCATAAATTAATAATGCTTATGGATTACAGTGAGGGGAAGCAGAGGGGAGAGAAAAAAAAGGACAAGACAGGTTCTTGGTCCTGTGCTGCCCTCTAGTGCTTGAAGTTGTGTTTGAAGTAGATGGAAATGAAAAGCTCCCTCAGTACTGTAGAAAAAAACATTATTGTACATAACAAATGTCAATTAGCATGTACTTCCTTTCATTGAGTTACTGTAGTAAAACCTAGCAGTTTAAAAATACATCCTAGTATTATTGAAGTTTTATATGTTCTAAAACTAGCCATCTGCTGAGTGGTTGAAGGTGAAAAATGAACCTGAAACACCACAACTGCTAAAGGCAAGAAAGGAGCAAAAGGGAGAAAACTGAGTATTAATGAATATTTATATCCTAGTACATAATACTGCAAAACAAATGTATTAAAAAAACATAATAAGAGCCTTGATATAATCAGTAAAAATAACTGTTCTACAAGTCACTCTGGATCTCAACGGCTAGTTTTAAATAAAAATAAAAAATAATCTAAAAGTATAGTTTTAGGCACAAATGAAGTATCACAAAGAAGTATACTTAAATAAATGTAAGTATTTCTATAGTGGGTTTTTTTACATTCATCATATAAAAATTAATGATTTTAAATATCCATTAATGACATTCAAGTTTAATTATGACATTCAAGTCTAACGCAGGTTTTTGACTGTGTTAAAAAAGAATCTGCGTGTTAGAGTACAAAAAATATCTTACATTGAAATTAAATATAAACAAACAAAAATAGTTTGGTGCAAAAATGAAGTCTATTTAAAGAAAATATATATAAAAATATATAATATAATGTGTCAAAAAGCAGGAAGTGTTGCCTTGACAGTAATTCAGAGTCATAGTGCACTACTCCAGGGGTTCTAGTAGAGTTTCTGCCCCACATGCCACCACCTCTCTGTACTAATGCCCCTGTTGTTGTCCAGCTCCAGAGGTGTCCTTCCTATCCCCATGTCTCTGGGTAGAAGACCTCTGCAGGGACTGTTGGGAGGGAAGAGGGAAGGGGGGGGGGTCAGGCTGACATGTGGAGAGGGAGTGAAAAATACGGGCGTCTGTCAGAGGTCAAGAGTAGTGAAGGGCAGACGGTGTTTAACCCGTACGTTAACATCAGCGATCCAGGTTGTCCTGTCCTTGCTGCTAAGTTGTCTGAGCTAATGCCTTCTGATTGGCTGCTGGGAGCTTGATGTAATAATGATTTGCGTTGTCTCTGTCCTCTCTGGTCATGAAGACCACTGCTGCAGCCAGCCACTGGGGGGTGTGGCCTGCTTCGCAGTTCACCCAATGAGCTTAGTGTTGGTCTGATGGGCAACTCGTGGTTACCTTGGCGACTGCTCAGCCCCACACATAATCCATACAACTGGCAAGCTGGCACGTCTACATGGGAGCACGGGAGAAGGCAGTCATTTACATCCAGGATTTATCATGCAGCTCAAAGATCACCTGCAACAACATATAAAAAAAAATATATCCATGTTACCGGTAATGTGATTACATGTGACATCATTGTTTCCACGCTAAGGGAAGATGTCCCTGAAGCTGTCATTGGCACAAAGTGTTAAAGTCAGTCAAAGTCAAAGTCAAAGGATGACTTTGACTTTGACTTTCAGGAGGACATGCTTTTGTTTTGGTTTTGGTTTTTTTATTTTTTCAACAGAGATTAATCATATATATATGTGTTAGTATTTTAAAGAATCTTTTTTTCAGACCTGATAAACTAGGTGACTAGTCATCTAATTTTTGGCCATTCATTTATATGAAGTCATAAAACAAATAGCGTATTTTTATATTTAATAGCTGTAGCAGTACTTTACTTCTCCTGTCTACTACTACTTCCATTTCTCACATACAGTCTATTTGTCATTTACTGACTGCAGTTTACACTTCACATTCAGACTCGCACATTTATCCACAATAAATCTCAACAAAACTAAATAATTATAGTAAATAGAAAAAAGGAATCAAAGCTAATGAATCTCATTAATAATTTTACCATTCTATCAACTCAACTAAAGCACAAAACTGTGGTGCTGCAATATATTTAGTTCAACCTTTGTCAGTGAAAGTGCTGGGAGATGTGCTGCCAGATCTGTCTTTAGAACAGCCACTGAGTTTGTTCTGCTCAGGAACATGGTCTGTGAGCACACTGCTGTCCTCTGTGTATTTCCACAGCAGTCCTCCTGACAGGTCAGGGGAGTTGTTGTCATAGGGAGAAATGTCCCCGCTTGATGCTTTTATGGAGTCACTGGACAAACATCGCTCAGTCATGGAGAAGGACTCCTCGGCTCTGAGGAGACCTGGGCCACTGCACAGACAGACAAAACACAATAAATATTGCATGACCTATGGCTGATGATAGCTGAGGTTGCTGGCAATTTATGCTGTGTGAAAGGACGGTATCTGACAACTCACGAGTAATGGGAGGTCCTTCTCCTGAGAAGGTAATCCACGACATCAGGATCAGTATTTAACAAACTCATCAGTACTTCATTCTGTA